TTTGAGACAGAGTCTCGCTGTCACCCAGGCTGGAGTGCAGTGGTACAATCTTGGCTCACTGCAACCTCTGCCTCCCAGGTTCAAGTGATTCTTCTGCTTCAGCCTACTGAGTAGCTGGGATTACAGGCATGTGCCACTACACCTGGCTAATTTTTGTATTTTTAGTAGAGAGGGTGTTTCACCATGTTGGTCAGGCTGGTCTTGAACTCCTGACCTCGTGATCCACCCGCGTCAGCCTCCCAAAGTGCTGGGATTAGAGGCGAGAACCACTTCGCCCAACATTATCGAGCTTTTAATATGTGTTAAGCATTGGGTGCTACAAAGCAGGGTGAGCATAAATGGACAAGTCTCTGGCCAGACGGAGGTTACAATTGCAGAAGAGAAACTAATGGAGGTTATAATTGTAGAAGAGAAACTAATTAGAATCGTTAATAAAGTTGCAACCATAATAAGTGCCTAAAAGGAGAGGCATATGATACTACAGTGGGGAGTCTGACCTAGTTGGGGAAGGGTTTCTGCAAAGTACTTACCTTTCCTTCCTATTATTTACCCATGAACTCTCTGCAGTTCCCCAAGAATGCAGGCACCGCCCTCCTGCCCTGTGACCATTCCACGAGATGTTCCCTCTGTCAAGATTGCTCCCTCCGTACCTAGCTCCATTATTTTCTAGTACTTGGTATGTGTTGGGTACCGTGATAAGCACTTAACATCGATTTTCTCTTGTATTTACCTCAGTGAGTGCAACTGTTAACCCTGTTTTATAAATAAGAAACTACGCTTTAGAAAGGCAAATTTGCTCAAAGACTCACAACTAGTAAGCGAAGAAACGAATTCAAAATCCCGGTGAGCCCGACTCGAAAGCGGTCTCGGCGGCACAGTCTTGTGTCTCCCAATTCCTTCCTGTCCAGGCCTCACGTATCCGCCCGTCTTTCCTGACCGACTCCTGGTGACGGTCTACTGCCTCCACGGGCCACGGCCATGGCAAGGTAGCAAGTGGAACTTGTCGCCTGCCCCACTAGGCTGAGCTCTTCCCGGACAGGGACTGGCCTTTTCCCTTTGGTCGGCTCCGTGACTCCGGGTAGACGCCCCTCAGACGCCACGCGCCACGGTGGCTCACGTGGGCCAGAAGTGTTCCCCTTCTCCCCCCACGGCTTTTCTAGGAAAGCAGGAGGACTCGGTTCGACTCCATGGTGCGCGCCCCAGCCCCGTGAAGCCGGGAGTGGTGAGGCGGCCCGCCCGCAGCGGGACAGTCAGTGACGGCGCGCAGAGAGCCCGCAGGCGGAAAGTCCTCGCAGTGAGCATCTCGAGCGAGGCCTGCGACCCCTCATCATGACTACTAGTTGGG